TCTAATGAGAGCTGTTTCAGTACTATGGTACGCTCTAAATCCTGAAAATAATCAAATAAATAACAAGTTGACAACAACTCTGTCACCCAACGATTCTATCTTGTCTACAAACCACGTTTTGTCACGAAAACCAGCAATAAAACGAACCAGAAATGACGCGAAACAGCACGTGCGCCTATACCCAGCAAAGAAGAGAACACAACACATGACTATGGATGTCAGACTAGTGCTAGTGCTGCACACTGTTAGCACGTCGATCTGCTCTGAAAAATATGCCAAAAAGAAAAACTAAGATTTACCTGGTGTCCTCAACCCATGCGTCGCTATGATTGGCTGTACTCATGACATCACTGAGGTTGAGTCACGCGACGGCTCTGGATATCTAGCATGCTAGTTATTTTTCTGGGCTCGGCGACGCGTCTGTGAGCGTTTTTGCTGCGTTGTTGGCTCTTTCATACTAACAGATTGGCAAGCGTTCATTGTCCGCTAATCACCCGCGATTTGCACGCGATAACACCCTGACCTGTCGGCGAGCACAACGATTTGCAAATCGGGCTTAAAATCCTGTAGTGTGAACTTGGCTTAAATGGTTCAGGAATGGTTTGAGTAACACAATGAGTTAGAGGTGTTGACTTGGCCTCCAAATTCCCCAGATCTCAGTCCAATCGAGCGTCTGTAGGATGTACTGAACAAACAAGTCCGATCCATGGAGGCTCACCTCATAACATACAGGACTTAAAGGATCAGCTGCAAACACCTTGGTGCCAGAGACCACAGCACACTTTCTGGGGGTCTAGTGGAGTCCATGGCTTGATGGGTCAGGGCTGTTTAGGCAGTTAATATGAACCCCCTTTTTTATTTTATCTGCTCCAAGAAAGTATGCTTCCTGAATATAGTAATCAAATACAACTTAAGCAGACAACAGGACCATTTAGAACAAACACTAGTAAATACTACAAGCACTCAAATCTGTCAAGTGTACTTAAGTTGCAATAATGCACGCACACACTTGCACTCGACTTTGCGCACATGCATCCAGCCTCGCGCGCTCACACACTGTAAATTTTATAAATTAGTGTGTGGATTTCGTATTATTCGCTTTTGTGTTTCGCCTTTCCGCCATTTTACGCTAGTGCGAGTAACATTTATGACATCAGAGAAATGTCAGTAGGCTAAAATGTATTATGGTCTATTACAATGAAATGAATAAGTTCAACACCCCTAGTGTCCACTGGTGATGCTGGTATTACCAGTATTGTCATACGTCGATTAACCGGTGGGAAAATTTCCTCACCATCACATCCCTAATGTCGATATATTCTAATATCAGAATTTTCTGAAACGTGTACATTTTTTTTTTAAGAAAAACCCCCCCTTTCACCCACCAGTGACATTTTCTACCAGTCTGTAGTTTCAGGTATGCAGTAATCAACCACCTAGTAGACCACCCTAATAACCACATAGCAACTAGCCTGGTTCAACCAGACTCTAGTTCATTTCATTTCCACATAGAGTCTGGAACCGCTCCATTGAGAAACGTTTCCTTCCTTGAAGGCGGGTTCACTATTAAAGTTCAAATCTATTGGATCTGCCCAAAGTCACTCACGATCTGCCATAGCCAATCGCTAACGGGGTGTCGTGAGTAGGGTTGGGTATCGAGAATCGAGTATCGATTGGAACCGGGACTAACTTTTCATTTTTCCCGGAATCGTTCAAAAGTTAAAATTTCGATTCCTAGTTTCGATATTCACAGTCCTCCGAGCGGAAGAAGAAACGAAGAAGCGTCTACCGGAAGTGTTGGCATAACCGCGCGAGTCGAACATGAGTAGCTTACGTCGGCGGTCCAAAGTGTGGCTTCACTTTTCTAAAAATAACGAAATCTCGGCAAAATGCAAAATTTGTGACAAAAGGAGTATTTGTGACACAAGGAGTATTTCCTTCAGAAAGACTGTTGGTTAGCAAGGTTAGCTAAACTTTTTTGACCCTGCTTCTTAAAAGAATCGGAATCGAGAATCGTTAGGAACCGGAATCGAAACAAGGAATCGGAATCAGAATCGTACAAATTCAAACGATACCCAACCCTAGTCGTGAGTGACGTATGTCACGCGCCGAAATGGCTGGAAACAACAAGTCCGAATTATCAGAGGATTATGTTTACAATAGGATTTCAGTGAACGAGCGCCGCGGGTTTTGTTCATCTAGGAACAATTATTAATTCGAAATGTATATTTGACACGAAGGACAGTGATATTTTCATTCAACGGTGGAAGCTGTGTCTAATCATTACAAATACGCCGCTGTGGTCGTTTTCTGATCTGCCGCAAATGCTGTAGCAGCTACAGTGAATGATCAGTCTTGTCTCTATCTGCAGATGTGTAATAAACAACAATTTTTCATATTACGTCTTATTGTTTCTTAATTATGGTCTTCAAAGTATGTGTTTGTACATTTTTATGTGGCATTTAGTTTTTTTTAGTAAAACAAATCAACCATTGCCATCTAAAACTGAAAATCAAATATCTTCAAAGTATGTTTTTTCACATTTTTATTTATGACAATTATTTTTAAAAAATCACAACCAATTTGTATGATTTACAACATGTAAAACTGACACACCAACCTCCTGCACCAGTGCACAAAGGGGCTCAAAATGTTCTATTCATCACAAGAATCAGTAAATATACAGTTGGGAATATGAGCGACTGACATGATGACTCCTGAGCGGATCTTCAACAATAGTTTAGGCCACCCTTAAAAATATTCTTGTTTGCCGTAACCCGACCGACCCTGTCAATTTAGGGCCGACCCAATTATTTATTTTTTTCCCCTTTTAGTCCGACCGACTTGCCGGTTGTAACTTGCGTTCAGACCGACAGATTTTTTTTTTTTTTTACTCTTCAAACGACTAGTTCAAATTCCATAAAATGATATTTTAGTTATTATTGTGAAAGTTGCTTATGTCTACAAACGTATGCTACGTTCTTTCTTTTAAATAAAAACCCGTGGCGTCATAGTCATCTGATTATGTTTACACGATTGGTTTACCCGTGTCACACTGTCTATAAGGCTTGTACGTTCGCTTCGTTTCATTCAGTGTTCCCGCTTGGTAAACCCGGTATTAAACGGGCAACGGGGCTGAATATCAACCATTTCTATATATAATAATAATATTAAACAATTTGTCTGATGCAATTTTGCTATTCGCAGTCCAGAAGAGAGAACGATCTCTCACCCGGAGCCACAGCGCGCACAACATGACAGCCCTGCTTAATGAGTGACAAATTGAGGACAGAACATGGTTACACTTTAGATCTGGGATATTATTCTAATTGTATTTTAGATTTCCGCTTTCAAAGATTATAAAAAGATATTTGAGATGAAACCATTAATTACAGACGCATTCTGTCTAGCGTAACTTCCTTCCCTTCACAGCGTTGCGCTGTCATTTCTTCCTAAAACCCAAACGAACCGTCAGAATCACGATCGGTAATTGTTGTAAAATGCAGTCTGTACTGTTGCTAAACTGCGGACGCGTTCAATCATTAAAAGAGCTATTAAAAGCACAAAAGTCTGCGCAAGGTGATGCGTGCTCCGAAATGCACTGCAACGAGACAAGAAAAGTAGTCATTTTGGGCTTCAGCACAGCTTTGGACTGTGCGCAGCTAAACTATCAAATATACATAAAATATAAAATGACCTGCTCTGAGATTAATTTAAACACAGTTTATGTCTTAAATGGATGTGAATAGTTGGGAGGAAATGGTGGTGCATCAGTCATCTGTTAGATCCGCACTCGGTCTTAAAGGGGCAGTAGTCTAATAAACATGTGACGATTGAGCCAGTAATGGGAATCAAACACAACAAAAGGCAGAGAAAAATCACTCGCAGCTCTTGAATTATTAACTTAAACTTTAAAAACCATTAATCTAACTATGATCAACCATGCAGTGTCATTTTACATTTGATTACTAAATTAAATTTCTTTTCAGACTACGCAACACACTTAACTGAAAAGTAGCTAATTTTAGACCTTTCTGAAATTAAAGCACTGTGTATATAGGCCAATTTGTATCTTTGTTTAATTGTATTCTTTGTTTCACCATGTGTTTGTACTTGTTTTTGCTTATATCTCATGTATATGGAAAAAAAAAGCCTACACACTGCTGCATAACAAATAGATATTTATTCATTTTGTGACTGGCCTAAAACGTAACCGGTTGTAGGTTGCATTAACACCTAGCGGTGGATGCACAGTTTGAAGACCCAGTCAGTGACGTCACAGTATGCAATTAAAAAATAAATAAATAAATAAATCATGAGATCACCATGACCAAAATTTTACTTTTTTTTTTACACTGAATCCTGGGAAAAAAAAATATAGACCTACCTACCGACCCTTTTAAAAAATTTTTTTGCTGTTACTGCAAACCAAAATATTTTTAAGGATGGCCTTAGCAGCCAGGACTCGGGGCTTCCGAACACCAGGCTAAACCGTCCGTCGGTCATCGTGCACGAGCTGCCCAGCACAAACTTCCAAACTTTCTGCCTCCTTCACTTGGTCCTCAGTTGTGCAACAAGAGGTTAGACGATAACAATCCGGCTTTAAATTCTGTATATTCGGCAGTTTCTTTTCCAACAACGGACCGAATAGCTTTTCTCACGTCTTTCTCCGCTGCCATTACTGAACTGAAACTGACGCGCTTACATCAACGTCATCGCCCTCAGCCACTCCCTCTATTCGCTGATTGGTCCTACAAAAAATTGATTTCTGGAAACCTAAGGATATGGAGCGATCCCAGACGTAGTTACTGAAGTAAAATGAAATTGAGCGGAAGTGCGTAGGAGGGCGCAGCCAGGCTACATAGCAACACCTTTCAAACATGAATTATTCATATTTTCTTCTAGTCATTATTCTTTTTTTTTTTGAAGTATGTGATTGCTCAGTAGTGTAATTTCTTCGCAGCGTAACCGTTTTCATGTTGTTTTGTCCATTTCCACAGTGGCTCACTGCGCCTCCTCTAGACAGATCATCTCGCACTGGAAGAACTGCACCCGGCACGACTGCCCCGTCTGTCTGCCCCTGAAGAACGCCAGCGACAAGAGAAACCAGCAGCGTATGTCTTATCCACATTTTAAAAACACTCTATACATTCTCTGCATCTTTTTGAGTTTATTTCCCAAGGAGGATTTTGATCATATTTTCAGAGATTAATTTAATTATGTTTAATTATGGTTATTTACTTTTTCCATAAAGAATTTTCTTTATGTGCATTTGCCATTATGCCCAAAGTTGGCCATTACAGCAAAATTAGTTTAATGTGTGAACACCGGTTTGTTACTGTACTTACTGTGTGGTTCTCCATCTCATGCTTCGAGAGACCGGGTGCGTTTATATGAGTGCTGCCACCTGTAGGTCATGCGTGCATCTCGGCTGCGCTCTGAATGTGAAAGCATGAGACCAGCAGCAGATTCCGGCAGGCAGCGGGGCTGTAATCTGACACCGCGGGGGAGGGGCTCCACCCTTCGTTTTTTCAGGGGGCGGGTCACAGAGAGCTCCCGCTTTCCGATTGGACAAATCGTTTAAATCCCCCTGTAGTGGCAACAGAAGCACGTTCTCTCAGTCTCTCTTGCAGTTCTGCTCTGTGCCTCTGCTCTGTGTTTCCAAAATGGCTATTCCACTTCAGTCACTTGTGCGTCCAGTTCAAGTGGAATTACTGCAAAATTGCAAACAGAAAATATATAATTTTAATGTATTCATTTAGTTTGTTTTTTTAATTTTTAATTTTCATTTAGCAGGCACGTTTATCCACAGTCATTTTACATATTAGTTATTTATGAAGAACATTTTTTTTATATTATGGGTAACACTTTACCAATAAGTTTCATTAGTTGACCTCAGTTAAAGGGTTAGTTCAACCCAAAATGAAAATTCTGTCAGTATTTACTCGCCCTCGTGTTGATCCAAACCTCTATGTGTTTGCTGAACACCAAGGAAGATATTTGGAAGAATGATTTAATCAAACAGATCTCATTCCCCATTGACTTCCACAGTAGGAAAAAAAATACATACTATGGTAGTCAATGGGGAATGAGATCTGTTTGATTAAATCATTCTTCCAAATATCTTCCTTTGTGTACAGCAGAACAAATAAACACATAGAGGTTTGGAACAACATGAGGGTGAGTAAATACTGACAGAATTTTCATTTTTGGGTGAGCTAACCCTTTAACTAAGTTATTAACATGAACTAAGAATGAACAATACTTCATCTTAGTTATTATTATTAATTTCAAAATGTACTAATACGTTATTAAAATCAATCGTTTTTGTTAACATTAGTTAATAACATGCACAAAATGCGCTGTGTTTTTATTAACTAACACTAACAAAGATTATTAAAAACTCATTGCTAGTTTAGGTAAGTTAATACATTGACTAATGTCAACTAATTAACTATATCGTAAAGTGTTACCTAATATTTTTTTGTAGATAATGGTGATTTTACTAAGTGTTTTTAGGCCTAATCTAGCAGCAACTTGCATGATATGAAAAAAGTTTGCAATTTATAAAGGTTTAATTGAAATATTTTAATTTAACAAATGTGTTTTTGTGGTATTTGCAGCAATGCTGAGCTCCCCGAACACTGGCATGCAGGCTCCGCTGGGCCCCGTGGGCACGAGTCAACCCGCTGCGCCCGCCATCAGCAGCGGCACGCACATAGACCCCAGCTCCATGCAGAGGGCGTACGCAGCACTCGGGCTCCCGTACGGGAACCAGCCGGCTGCGCAGACGCAGGTCGCAGGACAGCAGCCCACGCAGACCCAGCAGCAGCAGATGCGCTCCATGACTGCTTTAGGTATCGACTTAAAAGCGGAATATTGTGAACGAGTCAATGTTACATGTTCATTATTAACCTTGAAAGTTGCTGTCATTCTGTAATTTCATCTTGCCTCATTTTCAATGCGTTGAGACGTTTTCTAAACATGCACACAGATCTAAATATTGCATATTTATAATTTCTAAATGCAATTTCAAAGATGCACACAAGTCCAACATGATTTATATTGCATTATTGGATTCGCTAAATGTAGTTCATCAAATATCTTAGTAACGGTGGGACATAATAAAGTGGAAAGATCAAAACTGGCATATAAAGTGCGTCTTGGTCGATAAGCGAGACATTTTATTGCATCTGGTGTCAGTATGCTTTGAAACTTCATGCTGCTCATCATGTGGTGTATTCGTGTGTAACCCCTGTCTGGTTTCCCACAACATCTTCAGGCACTAACCAGATGAACATCGGCGGTAACGGTATGGCCGATCAGACGAACCTTCACACTGATTCCTCTCTCCCCTCATCCCTCAACAGCAAGTGAGTCTTTTCACCTTTCATCCCTCGCCTTTAACCTCTCACACACACTGCATCTGTAGAGTAATGTCTGAAACTTAAAGGAAATCTGAGACGATAAAAGGGAAAAATATATATTTTTAAAAGGTTCTTTGTCAGATTTTGCAGATTTTTGTCAAATTATGCACCCTGTAATGTCGAAAAATCTTGAAATATTAAGTTTTTGGGAAGTGATGTTCTTAAAACTAATGTTGTAATCCTGCTCTCACAGTCAGATGATGTCAGACGGGTCTAACATGGGCGGCGCTGGGAACCTGCCCACAGCTGCACCGCTGTCAATGCCCGGCATGAAGAAGCCCTGGCACGAGCACGTCACTCAGGACTTGAGGAATCACCTAGTGCACAAACTGTGAGTTGGAGAATTCATTTTTCACATTTTCGCTCACCAGCCAATTTGGCTTCTGAAGTTGCTTGCCATTCAGATCTTCTAACAGCCAAAACTAAAATATCAGGTATAAACCAGCTTAGATTTAAATACATTTATTATTTAAATCCGATTCTAAATCATTGTTTTGCTTTCAGCTTCACGACAGTCAATCACTGTTTGCAGATATCATTCAAATAAAATAAAATGGAAATAAAACAAAATGATTTGGCATGAGTTTACCTGCACGTAGCAGTAAAGACGCTAGGGCGCTTTTTTGCCCAAAAGTCTTGGACATGCGGCATTTATGAGAACAGGCCTCTATAAAAAGTGGCCTCTTAATTGTCTCCTAGGGCTCTGGCGGAGCGTTTACCAGTCGCACAGCAGACGGGAAGCGCCGCGCTGCGGACATCTCAAAGGCAGGCTTATCGCACACCGGTCACGTCATTCTGTACTCGCGTTCTCAAGTCCAAAACAGTGACTCTAATCACAATACAGGCAAAAGTTCACCTCAAGTGGCGTCAATGAGTTTGAATTAAGGTATTTAAAAAAAACAAAACAGCGCAAACTAGGGGTGTCACGATTCGATACAAATTGCGATACTGAGCTCTCTTATGCCAAAATCGTTTTTATTATTATTATTAAACTAATATTATTATCAGGACTCACAAATATTGCCCCATTGCATTATTATACATTATATTCAACATTATATATTAGTAGTTTAATGTAGTAATGTCACTGAAGAAAAGTAAATCACGTAGTATTCGCGCTTTCAATACAGGCCTTCGTTGGATATGACAAGCCGTGCTCGCTATGTCCACCTCTCCTATCTAAAACACTTTTAAAGGATTAGTTCACTTTTGAAAAAACTTTTGCTGATAATTTACTCACCCCCATGTCATCCAAGATGTCGATGTCTTTCTTTCCTCAGTCGAAAAGAAATTTAGGTTTTTGATGAAAACATTCCAGGATTTTTCTCCATATAATGGACTTCAATGGGAACCGGATGGTTCAAGGTCCAAAAAGACAGTTTCAGATGCAGCTTCAAATGTCTTTAAACGACACCAGACGATGAATAAGGGTCTTATCATGTGAAACGATCGGTTATTTCAAAACTTATTCCAAAAATGTAACTTTTCTAAGGACAAATGCTAGCCTTGCTCTATTCTGTGAGGCGCGTTTGCAACGTCACGTATTACGTAATTACGTTCAAAAGGTCACGGGCGACGTAGCCGAAAGTACAGAGTCAGTGTTTAAAAGTTGAACGCATAGGTTGAACGTGCAAACTAGCTCAAACACCGTTTACAAAAAAAGGAATTAAAAGGAAAAACAACGATGTCGGACGATTTTGATTCTGTACTTCCGGCTACGTCGCCCGTGACCTTTTGAATGTTATTACGTGACGTTACAAACGCGCCTCAGACAATATAGCAAGGCTAGCATTTGTCCTTAGAAAAGTTACATTTTTGGAATAAGTTTTGAAATAACCGATCGTTTCGCATGATAAGACCCTTATTCATCGTCTGGTGTCGTTTAAAGACATTTGAAGCTGCATCTGAAACTGTCTTTTGGACCTTGGACCGTCTGGTTCCCATTGAAGTCCATTATATGGAGAAAAATCCTGGAATGTTTTCAATAAAAACCTTAATTTCTTTTCGACTGAGGAAAGAAAGACATGGACATCTTGGATGACATGGGGGTGAGTAAATTATCAGCAAAAGTTTTTTCAAAAGTGAACTAATCCTTTAATAATCATACTACTAAAACTAAACGTGATATGGTGATTTAAATAATGTTTGCGCTTTTACTTTGAGGAGTGAAGCGTACAAGCATCAGATGATCAATGCAATTCATCACAATTCTGAATGTTGTTGAAACAAAAAATGTGCTTTCGCACGTCACACAAGCATCTAAACATTTAGAGTATGCCCGTCGTTGTAAATCTGTTCATCACATAAAGCCATCGTATCTCTCTTCAGAAGACTTAGATGAGCGGTGATCATTACAATGCCTTTGATTTTTGTTGGATCTTTTAAATTTTAGAGGAATGGACTTTAAATGGAAGAACTGAAATCGCTCCGGTTTCGTCAAAATATCTTTGCTTTTGCTTGGTTGTCGAATAAAAATCGTATAGGTTGACACGAGTGTGAGTATATGATGACAGAATTGACATCTTTGAGTGAGTTATAGATTATAAAGACAGTTGAGCTGAGCCTTGGATAAGACTAACTCTTTATCTCGAATCATATCTCGATATAACGATGTATCGTTACGCCCCTAGTGCAACCGGAAAGAGAAAGTGCGATCCATATTATTTCTCTATATAAAGCATATTTATTCAAGCTACAAAAACAAACCTGCTTCTGAAAAATGCACAATACACAAGTCACCTAGGGGGAAGTCAGTTCACACATATATTTGTCCTTAATCGTGTATTCTAATAGACAACTATGGTGTGGTTCGGCGTGATTTTGAACAGCCGGAGTCATAGTTGGTGTCGCTGTTGTGCGTCTGCGTACGGTCCTAGAAAACAATGCTTTTGAATTTAATACATTTTTCTCTCATTGTGCGCGACCCTCTTTATGCATTGTTTTGAGGCTGCGTTTAGGGGAAGGGCTCTGATAGCAATGGCACGCGAAGTGATTGAACATAATTTATGAATCATAACCCGCCAAATTGGCTAATGTGTTGAATTGCGTTACACGCCACAGTGGATTTTCACTCACGTTTGGCGGGTGTCACTTTCAAACCCTGTTCACAATCATGATTTGCCAAGGGCAGTTCTCTTACCACTGTATTCTTTTAACACCCCTACAGAGTTCAAGCCATATTCCCGACGCCTGACCCTGCAGCACTGAAGGACCGACGCATGGACAACTTGGTCGCTTACGCGCGTAAGGTTGAAGGGGACATGTATGAGTCGGCCAACAGCAGGGTAAAGTATCTGGACTGTCGTGCTACATTTGAACCTTCCTTCAATATGGTGTGTGGTTTGGGTGGTTCGTGTATTCATGTATTTTAAAATCTTGTGATCAGGATGAGTATTACCACTTTCTGGCTGAGAAGATCTATAAGATCCAGAAGGAGCTGGAGGAGAAGAGAAAGTCCAGGCTGTCGAAGCCACAAATGGGCGCTCAGGGTCCTCAGCAGCCTGGCCTTCCCCAGCCCAACGCTATGGGTCCTGCACAAGCCATCCGGCCACCAAGTTAGTGTCTTTGCTTTTTTAATGCGCTGATCTTTTGGATGGTAAATGTTCCCTGGCTGCTTTCTTGATGTGTTCAGCTGCTCAAAATATTCCTTATTTCCTCAGATGGACCTGTCCCTATGTCCAATGTGCCAAATCAGTTGATGGCCCGGATGCAGGTCCCTCAAGGTATGGTTGATCTTTTTGCATACATGTATACACTAGGGCTGGGTAATAAATATCGATTCCTCGATATTAATCGATTCTCATTTTTACGAACCGATATCGATTCTTAAATCTCAAGAATCGATTAGTCATCCTGTTTCATTTGAATGAATGGGACATTGTATCGCGGCCGCGCGCATCAAAAAAACCCCGCAATAATCTTTGTCCTTTGTTACTATTGATATGAAACAAAGTCTCAATTTTCAAATTACGTCCATTTTCTTTAGAAATTCAAAAACATAAATAGTGTTTTGGCGCTGTGGCGTGAGATCGCTCTGGCGCAGCTAAGCAGCAGCGCTGATCTCTCTTCCGGGTTAATAATACCAGTCACAGCGCGAAATAAACATGAATGAGCGTCTGAAAGTGTGTTAAAGATAGAGTACAACTTATCAAAATCCGTATCATGTCACATTGATTCGCTCAATCAGCGTTTCAACCGTGGAAAGACATTTTGTAATCAAAATAGCTTGTAATCAATGTCATGTATCGTCATATTTACCTCAGAAAACCCTCAGCTAGAAAAAATAACTCCAGAGAGGAGCATTTTGCTAAATATAAACACCATATTACATATGCATTATAATCTTAATGTTCTTCAATATTTAATGCATATTTGAATAAATCTGGCAAGTTGTTATGACAGCCACCATTTAAATGTTTATATTTCATATAATCTTCTTATTATAAAAGTAAATAAAAGTGTAATTTAAGTGATTCATTCATTATTACCTTCATATTAGGCTAATGAAGCCTAGTAGGCTACAACTAGTTAGTTAAGAGATTTGATTGCCTTGAAAAAAATGGCAATTTATTGTAACTAATATCCAAAATAATAGATATTGAATCGAATCGAATCGTAATCGAATCGCAAGCTTGTGAATCGAAATCGAATCGAATTGTGAAATTTGTCTCAATACCCAGCCCTAATGTATACACTACTGTTCAAAAGTTTGCATGTTTTTTTTCCCCTCTTTTGCTCTCCAAAATGGTATTTATTTGATCAAAAATACAGTAAAACAGTAATGTTGAGAAATATTTTTTACAATTTAAAATTATGTGAATATATTGTAAAATATGATTAATTCCTGTGATGTTAAAGTATTATTACTCCAGTCTTCAGTGTCACATGATCGTTCAGAAGTCATTCTAATTTGCTGATTTGATGCTCAAGAAACATTTATGATTATTACATTTAATTAATCAATTCTTCTATATCGTCTACCCGATTCCTTTTTGCTTTGTTTTGAATTGTGTATGTATCCAAATTGCTGTTACAATCTTAGCACATGTTCTGGGTCTTTTTGTGTGTTATTCATCTAATCTTTTATCAATATGTTACAACTTACTACATTTGGCAGACGCATTGGCGGTCAACCTTAATGTAATATAAGTTATGTCAATCATAGCAAATAATGATATATTTCACAGTCAAAAACTTCTTAAATCTGTCATAATACAGCAATAAAATAGGTTATGAATGCCATTTCATGTTGACTTGGGAACTTGGGAAGGGAAAAAAAAGCAGTCAGACTGGCCATACTAGTAGCGCAGGAATTACTCAAAAGCTTCAATCCCCCTTTTATCCACTTTTCAATGTGTTTTTCCCATCATGCTCTGCAGGAATGGGCCAGTTCAACCCCGTGACCATGCAGAACGTGCAGATGTCCCAGTCGCCGGTGGGAGCTCCTCGCGCAGCATCCCCTATGACTCACCCCCCTCAGATGGGCATGGGTAACGTTCCAGCGGTGAGCATTACCAAAGACTGTCGACTGAATAGCGAATAACGTTGTTATAGCGAATATAACCCTGCAAAGTCTTAACGTGAAGCGGAGGGGTCTTGAATCAGCCTGAAGGTGTTGTATTCACTGTAACAACTGCCTCGGCCTCGCTATACATTTCCCCACTTATAACATGGTTACCTACCAAATAAATCAATAATTTGGCACAAAATATTGATTTAAAAAGGAGTTTATTAATTTAAAGAAATAATGGCAGTAATATACACGTCTGTGGCTCAATTCTAACCTCTCTTCATGTTTTTGTAGATGGGTATGTCTCCCTCCAGGATGCAGCAAGCAACAACCATGATGGCAGGCCATGCTAACAATATGGTGGGCCAGCCGCCCAACCAGAACCAGTTCATGAACCAGACGCCCTTCCCATCATCAGCCGGGGGCATGAATGTGAATGTAAACCTTGCCCAACAGTCAGGACAGTCTGTCCCACAGGTGAGGAGTCAGAAATGTCCATTCTCCATCAGCGTTTCATTGTATGTGGTGCTACTTAGGCTTTCTAGTGAGACATTTCACCACCACAAACACTTTCAGAGTGAAATAGTGACCATCCACCTTTTCAGCCGTGTTAGTTACGGAAGTATTTTTCCCATTCATTTTCCCACAGCGATCTGTTATTAGCCATGAACAAAGCAAACCAGCTAAGAGCTGAATCGCATTCTTTAAAAAAATGTTTATTTGAACCAAAGAAGTAGACAAAAGGTTAGCAATGAATGTCCGTATGGAGAAAATGAATGGAATTTACTTCCGCAACCGGCTGTCGCAGTCCATTGTAAATGGCGGCCAATGTAGTTTGATTTGCTATATCGTCTGAGTCGCTATGCCCTCCATCTCTCCTCTGCAGCAGCAACAGAACGCTAACATGACCCTGAATGCTGTGGGCTCTCTCGGCCCCCCGTCCGCCCTGTGCTCCACCCCTCCTCCACCCTCCACCCCATCAGCAGCTGCTAGCCTACAGCCACTCCAGACCCAGCCTTCCACGCCGGCCTCCGCCGGAGGCCACGTCACGCCCACCCACATCCCCAGCGGCTTGCCCCGCCCTCCCTCAGTCCTGGGCTCCTCCCCTGCCCCCTCCCAGCCGCTCACGCCCCTGCAGTCCCAGCCTGAGCCCCCCCTGCAGATGCAGCAGCCCACCTCTGTGCAAGCCCAGCAGCCCAGCACTCCGGTGAGGACCGAAAACACAGCCTCGTTTGCAGTTGTATGCGATGACACCCTTAACTCATGTCGTTCCTCGTTTGTCTGTCCATTAGCTCTCTCAAATGGCCGCTAGCGTTGATAATAGAGTTCCCACGCCCGCGTCTGTGGCTGAGACCCACTCCCAGCAAGCTTTGCCCGACTACCCTGCTGCTGAGCCCAAAGTTGAGCATCAAGATGACGAGCAGGGCTTTGAATCTGGGAAAAAGCAGCCTGATCTCAAGATGGAGGTGTGATATTACTGAAATTAAACTTGAAATCAGTTTCTTGACTTTTTTTTCTTGAGTATTACATTACCGTTCAAAAATTTGGGTTTGGTAAGATTTTTTTTTACATTATTTTGATAAAAATAATAATATTGGTATTTTTACTCAAGCAAGGATGCAGTAAATTGACCAAAGTGACAGTAAATATTTCAAATAAAAGCTTTATATTTAGCTAAATATACTGTTTTCGGTATTGATGATAATTAGAAATGTATAATATCAATAATAATTCTTATAAGAAATGTTTCTTGAGCAGCAAATCATCATATTAGAGTGATTTCTGAAGGATCATGTGACACTGAAAGAGTAATGATGCTGAAAATTCAGCTTTAACATCACAAAAATAATTACAATTTTAAAGGATATTACAATAGAAAATAGTTATTTTAAACTGCAATAATATTACACAATGTTATTTTTTTTATTACTGTATTTTTGATCAGATAAAAGCAGCCTTGGTGAGCAAACTAAATTCAGGAATACTGAGAAATATTACTGACCCCAAATTTTGAATGGTCGTGGCAAGATTTTTCATCCTTTTATAAATATATTCACTGTCTATATTATTAAATGCATCTGTTGCAAGTTTAAACTGATTCATCTTGCTTACTCGAATACAATTTTTGTTAGAGAAGTTCAAATTGAAAACAAATCTCTTGACGCTTCTCTAGTTCCACGATCTTTCCTTGTCTAATGAAACAGTCTGTTGTTCATTAGGATGAAGATGTCAAACCTCTACAAGTAAAGGAGGAGCCAGAGACTGTAGAACCCAAACAGGAAACAATGGAGACGGAGGACAAGAAACCAGAGGCAAAAACCGAACCAAAAGAGGAGGACGTGTCCAGCACCAACAACAACGCACCATCCAGTCAATCCGCCCAGTCACGCAAGAAAAGTAAAAACATTTCCTTTGGGGGGAAAAACATTGTAACTAGAATTCAGTAATATCTGTAATTTGACGCGATCATGATGATTTGTTACAGTTTTCAAACCAGAGGAGCTCAGACAGGCGTTGATGCCTACCTTAGAAGCGCTGTATCGTCAAGACCCGGAGTCCTTGCCCTTCCGCCAGCCCGTGGACCCAAATCTACTGGGCATCCCGGTAAATCCCATTCTCCTATTATTGGGCTGATGTAATCTAAAACAATCTTAAAGTATTAGATAATCACCATGTATTGGATCTGGTTTCCTCAGGACTACTTTGACATTGTAAAGAACCCGATTGACCTTTCCACCATCAAGAGGAAGCTGGACACTGGGCAGTACCAGGAACCCTGGCAGTATGTTGACGACATCTGGCTGATGTTCAACAACGCCTGGCTCTACAACCGCAAAACATCTCGAGTGTACAAGTACTGCTCGAAGCTGGCCGAGGTGTTCGAGCAGGAGATTGACCCCGTCATGCAGGGTCTGGGTTACTGCTGCGGGCGCAAGGTGAGAACTGGAGCCTCTCTATTCAGGAAAGAGTCGTTCGCTTATAAGTGAACGGTCCAAACAAACTCAAACGAACCTGAGAGCATCTCAGTCATTCCGAGCGCAGTCATGGTGTTATTGTTGACTATAGTGGGAACACTTTACAATAAGGTTCCATTTGTTTACATTTATTAATACATTATTGAAATCAAAAGGTAGATCTGTTAATATTAATATAACTGAGCTAAAATGAACTAATTCTGATTAAAGGACAAGTTCGGTATTTTACAATTAATGCCCTGTTTTAAGATCGTTTCTGATTAAATAGTATGGTTAGGGTCGTTTTATCGTAGTTTTTGTCCATCTCCATTGACTTGTATGTTCTGTGATGTCCGTTATTACTCGGCCGCCTGGAAACGGAAATGGGCCTATTTGTATTCTTTCTGTAGTTTATGCAGTCGCGTGTATACAAGTGGTTTGCTTGCATTTGGCAAAGGTGCATTATCGCCACCAACTGGGCTGGATTGTCTATTATTCAAGCTCAAAACGGAAGAATGTCCGGCTGTGAGGCGTTTGGAAAAATAGGTCTACAGTTTTACAACGAATGGTAAAACACCTGTTGGAAAGCATATTTTGCAGCGATTTTTGTGTGAGCATATCAGTGAACACCCCAGACCACTCGGTGAGTTTCACGTCTTTGTAAACTAAAGTTTTATGCGTTTTTATGAATGATTGTTCCAGTGCACCTATGCTAGCATTATAAAGGTGGGGGGGTGCTAACACAGAAACCGAAAATTCTCGTGACGGCAGCATTTGTCTAAACAACGACCCTAACCATACTATTTAATCAGAAACGATCTTAAAACAGGGCTTCAATTGTAAAATACAGAACTTGTCCTTTAACCTTAATCAAGTTTAATAAATACTGTAAGAAATATTTTGATCTTTGTTAGTTAAAGGTGCCATCTGGCACATAAAATCAAATCATATTCCATACCAGATGGGGGCAGTATACCTTCAGAAAGCGAGTTGTGCCGCGGCCGCGCGCACTCTCACGTCTTCAAACAACACAAGCGAGCGCTGTTTTGCTCTCTTTCTCGCGCATATTATTCAAATAATTTGACATATGATAGTAAAAGGTTGGAAGACCGCAGTTTCACGTGGAGATTTTTAGAGATCAGAGACTCAATGAACATCATCTCAACACTAAATGATGAAGACCGTCTCATAGACGCCTGTCTCAAAAACAAGCTGGTGCATTTCGACGATATGGGAGAATAAAAGCCTGGGCTATTATTTTAAGTTTACGGTATTCGTTTTGTTCATATTACACTTTTATTGTTAGTTTGAATTAATTTGACAGACAGCGTTTGCTGATGTTGATCAAGCTAGCGCCATTCAGAGCCGCCAACTCTCACGAATTCACCGTGAGACACACGCAATTGACACTTAGCAAGCAGGTTAGTTAAACTCTCAGATTCTGTCAATTTTATTACGCAATTCAAACAATAAATACCGTTTTGGCGCTTGTACATGTTACACTACAGATCCCTAGCGCACGTGAACCGATCATCTCTACTAGCTAATGGTAAAAGAACATGAACACTGTTGAAAGATACAGTATGCTACAACTTACCAAAATGTATTCCTCATGCATAATATCGACCAATCATTTTTTGAACTCTTCCCTGAACTGAAATGTAGTAGTGGGCTGTATTTCCACACGACTGACATCAGGTTCAAGTTACTCGTGTACTGCAGTTTGGCTGGTGGTTATGTTGCCCGCCCACATACCGCCTCCCATGGCCGAAACTGGTATTACGACACCTGCCGGGCCGCGGCTAGTAATTTAGCATGCTAATTTAGGTTTATATCTCGGCAGCACTATAACTTGTCAGTTTTTTAATGACATCATTGCACTTATTTCTTTTCATTCTTTTGATGCGTGTAGCTCATTTTTTGGATATTTTTACTTCAATTATTACATATGGCGCCTTTAATGCATTAACTTACATTTGCTAATGCTGGGTTCAGACTACACAATGTTTTTGTCTGTTACGATTAGCGGTGCACTAATATAACATCGGCCGATATGGTCAATTTTTTACACATCGGTATCGTTCCGATGTCAAAATAGGGCCGATGTGAACAAGCTGATAATCATTGCTGTGTATTTGACGTGTGTAGATGTGAGAGCGGGGGCGGGGATGTGTGTTTTTGCACGAGCGAATGCATTATGAGTCCTGTCAGTTTAAACATCAAGTGCAAGAAGACTGGAACTGGCGCACTGTTTCTGTCAGCCTTACTAAGGCGTATTTTTGAGCCTTATTTGACCGGTGAGTGATGTAGATGACTGACTGCTGCGCTTGTTTAACTGAGAGAACGAGCAGAGAGAGTGAAGTGCGTGCGCACTCTCACCGTCTTCAAACCTTTACAGCAGGGGTCACCAATCCTTTTGAAACTGAGAGCTACTTCATGGGTACTGAGTCATATGAAGGGCTCCCAGTTTGATACGCACTTCTGAAATAACAAATTTGCCTTTAGTTATGCATTATTAATTATGATTAATGATACTCATTTGAAGACACTGATCACGCTAATGATTTCTCACAATAATGATCAACAATGACAAAGTGGGAAACAGTTATCAATATTCAGCACTTTAATCTCAGTAATTGTTACATTTTCAGATGATCACTTAAATCATTACATTAAATTCAGCCACTAACAAACCCTTTTAGCAAATCATGAACTATGTTGCAAAAAGTTAACAATTATGTATTGTTAGAAAAATCAACTTACTTTTAAATAAATCTTGTCACATTTTGAACTAATTACCAAATCTGCTGAATTTAACACACTTGATCAGAAAATGTGTAGCTCTAAATGAGGCTTTGGTTGCTTTTTGTGACTTTTTCGCCGTCCTCGTGAAAAAAGACTGTTGCTTACCCAAAGCTGCCTTTAGCTCACAGGCTTTTTCTGCCCATAGTGCACTTCCCGGTGGGAAGTTAGTATGATATCTTTTGTGACACGTAGTGAAGTGTCTCTCCACATTGTGCCACTTTGCTGTCGACACAGTCGCCCGCAAATGAGACACATGCGGGTTTCTTTCAGTTGACTGAATATCTTTGAGAATACACCATTGCAAAAGGTCGGAAGACCGAAGATTTGTTTTTCCCGAACTACCATTGGTTGTGAATTGTGCTAAAATAAGGTTGCCTTATCTTCTCTGAAAAGCTTTCCACACATGCAGTTGACAAACCACACTTTCAATAAACAACAACAAAAATCTATCTAGTGATGAAATGTTTTCTGTGTTTAGACAAATCGTGTGCGATGTCCTAAAACTGCCTGGATAATCACACAACGTGTGCTGTGGTCCGTTAATGACACATCCGATTCACAAACTAATGACTCCTTTGAACCAATTCACTTTAATGAATGGTTAAAACAACTGATCTGTCCAAAACCAATATTAGTTTCTATTAGGGCTGGGTATTGAGACAAATTTCACAATTCGATTCGATTTCGATTCACAAGCTTGCAATTCGATTCGATTTCGATTACGATTCGATTCGATTCATTATCGATTATTTTGGATATCAGTTACAATAAATGGCAATTTTTCTCAAGGGAATCAAATCTCTTAACTAATGCTGTAAACTATGGTCTATATGGTCTAGTTGTAGCCTACTAGGCTTTATTAACCTAATATGAAGGTAATAATTAATAATTAATAATTTATTATAGTTTTGTAGCTATACAAACACTTAAATTACACTTTTATTTATTTTTATAATAAGAAGATTATATGAAATATAAACGTTTAAATGGTGGCTGTCATAAAAACTTGCCAGATTTATTCAAATATGCATTAAATATTGAAGAACACTAACGAGTGTGGACTAACGAGTTGATGTGGGTTTTCTGAGGTAAATATGACGATACATGACATTGATTACAAGCTGTTTAATTGACGCCTTTCCACGGTTGAAACGCAGATTGAGCGAATCAATGTGACATGATACGGATTTTGATAAGTTGTACTCTATGTTTAACACACTTTCAGATGCTCATTCATGTTTATTTGGCGCTGTGACTGGTATTATTAACCCGGAAGAGAGATCAGCGCTGCTGCTTCTCTGGAGCTGCGCCAGAGCGATCTCACGCCACAGCGCCAAAACGGCAAAACGCAATTTATGTTTTTGAATTTCTAAAGAAAATGGACGTAATTTGAAAATTGAGACTTTGTTTCATATCAATAGTAACAAAGCAGGACAAAGATTAGTGCGTTTTGTTGGATGTGCGCAGCCGCGATACAATGTCTCATTCATTCAAATGAAACAGGATGACTAATTGATTCTTGAGATTTAAGAATCGATATCGGTTTGTAAAAATGAGAATCGATTAATATCGAGAAATCGATATTTATTACCCAGCCCTAGTTTCTATGTGGATTTACTCCTTGACAAAACCACCCCAGTCCTTCTAGAATGATTCTTTCTTTCCAAATAGTGCTGTTCAAGTCATCGGGTGAAATTGTTTTATATGGTAATGTCATTTTTTACCAATATTGTGCAGCCCTAATCCTCGCGATGTGTTTTCTATCTAGAGATATCGACATTGGTATCGGCCACAATTTTCACATCGGTGCATCACTAGCTACGGTAGACTTATAAACTCTTGAGGTGTCATGGACAAGAAACATGTCAGACTACACGTTGCTTCCCGACCAATCGTTGCTTGGCATCTTTAATAGAGCCCGGCCGATATTAGGCATTTTGCTAACTATCGGTATCGGCATTTATAATGGCCGATAAATTAATATTTTTTAAAAATGCGGGTGCGGTGGTTCATGTAAGGGTGGCGATGCCAATAAAGCACATAAAAGCCGTCACAAAGAACTGGGATAAGTAATGATTGTGAATACATCAAATAGAGCAAGAAGACATTTTAATTGTTTATCAATAGACAAGTGTTTTCAGTCAGTGTCGCTGCAAAGTTGACAACGCTGACTCGCGATCTTCAGCGAGGAACACCAGAGAGAAATGCACGTTTCGTACGGATTACAGAAGAGAACAGTCTGTCTTTCATTTTGAATTGTTCTGTTTAAAAGTAGACATTTCAATATAGATATATTTCTCAGGTCTATACACTGAGTTTTCGGTTCATTTATGAGAGAAGTTGCAGTTCACGCGCCGGCGCCTCCGTGTCGAGATTATCTATTGACTGCTATATTTACTTATTATTTTTTGAATTCCAGGCAATTGGTTGATGAAACGGTGATTAAAATTAAGACACAATTATTACAAAACAAAATTCAGGTTAAAAAAGGTTTTGTGCTTTCTGTTTGATGTTCTGTGAAAGTTTTAAAGCATATTTTAGTGGCGCTCTCAGAGCGCTCAAGTCTGTAGCGGAGAACAGTACTACTTTAAAGTGAATTTCAGCATTGAATACAATTTTTAAATAAGGTTATCTGTAACCCAATGCACTGTGAACTAACTCGAACAAACAATGATCTGTAGTTTTTTATTAACTAACAGTAACAAAGATTAATACTTTCTGTAAAACACATATTACTAGTTATTTGTTCATGTTAGCTAATTCAGTAAGACTGTAAAGGGTTACCGAAGTATTCAATAAAACTAAAATGAATGACGATAGAAAATATAAACATTTAAAATAATTATAAATAATGCTAAAATGATCATGGCGGCACTTCACAGAATTGTCTTTTCTGTCTCCACAGTACGAGTTTTCACCTCAGACGCTTTGCTGCTACGGCAAACAGCTCTGCACTATCTCCAGAGACGGCACATATTACAGCTACCAAAACAGGTAACTAACGGCGTGAGAAATGAGGTGGCGATGAACGAGTTTCCAAATGGGACCGTGATGCACTGAGATCAGGCCTGAGATTTTTAGTGCTCAGTTGACTCTGTGTTGTTAGCACCTTATAAACAGAATCATAAAAGCAAGTTCAAAGGTTAAGTGTCTTGTTCAAGGTTGCAGTGGTAATACTTTGATCAGTCGCTGTTGGATTTGAATCTTGCGGTTTACAAGCCTAGTTATTTGCTTTACCCAACAGACCGCTAGCATTTGTGTAAATCCTAAAAACTTTATTAATTGTCATAATATTTAGAAATAGAATGCCTGGAAATCCCCTAGTGCACCACTTTCCCATGTTTCTCATCATCTTAGTGCACTCTCTGTTTGTTTCATGCTTATAATTTGTTCTTAAGATCCCGTGGTCAATCAGAAACTGCATGTAGCTACTCTCGAGTGCATGACAAAATAGACCACCCTGTTGCCATCCATCATTTTTTTTTAATTTAAAATTCATTTGTGAGTTGGATTGCTAACCTGTGCTCTGCCTCGGCCTGTCTGCTGTGTGTCGTATCTCTGCCCGACCCCACGTTCTGCGCTCTTGTGCTGCTCTTCCTGTGCCGGTTTGCCTGTGCTCTTGTGTGCTGGCTCCAGTTCACCCAAATATGGCCTTGTTGCCGACAGGTATCACTTCTGCGAGAAGTGCTTCAACGAGATCCAGGGCGACAGTGTCACCCTGGGAGACGACCCAGCGCAGCCGCAGACGTATGTATCTTCTGTCGCCCAGAAAGCTTTGAGGTTTTGCTTCTATTAAATCGCACAATTACTCTTAAAGAATGAGTTGTACATGTGTAAAGATGCCATGTGGAATGTGTCCTATTCGTCTCTCTGCAGTATGATATCAAAGGAGCAGTTCGAGAAGAAGAAAAATGACATGTTGGACTCTGAGCCGTAAGTCTAATCATTTGAATCCTTTTTGTGTGTATTTTAGACTATGCTATTATAGCAACAATATGTATTCTATTGGTATACTGCACACGGATTTTTTCTCTACTCAAAAGACCAAGATTCCTTGCGAATATGGGGATATGCCGATACACGTTTACATGACCAAAAATTTGGGTTAGAAAAGGGGTACCCCAGGTATAATATCCCCGTTTTTGAAATCCGGCATATGAGCATATTCGGGTTTTTGCCAGTGTTTACATGGCCGTTCGCGACCGGGTTATTGCTAATATCCCGGTTTTGAACGGGTTATTGGCTGCATGTAAACGATGATGTCTTTGTTTTTTCTTTGATTAGATTACAATATTGCATTAAACTATCATTTGAATGCCACTTTGTGAAATAACTCAAGTTAATTGTTAAAAGTTTGGGAAATTGTCATTGTTGCACATGCATTTACATATTATTTAAAAATGGCAGGCATTCAATTGTGCATTATGTAGTGAGCAGTACTTTTAATTCTGAAAAGTCACATGAAATGGTAACATTTTACATTAAGTTTTCATAATGTTAATCTCAACATTAATCAGATAACACTGAACTAATATAAACAATTTATAAACTAACAATAACACCTGTAAAAACGCATTTGCCATTGTTAGTGCATTAACTAATATTTACAAATTAGGTCTTATTCTAAAGTTAAAAAAATTAATAAATCATACATTTTAACACCTTCCTCTGTATTATCAGCTTTGTTGAATGTAAAGACTGTGGCAGGAAGATGCATCAAATCTGTGCACTGCATTACGACATCATCTGGCCAACCGGGTGAGCATTTTACCTGCCTGTTCTCCTGACGTTTAGCATGTCATTTGATGTGATCACTAAAGCTCCTGTTTGCCTCTTCTCCTATAACAGTTTCATCTGTGACAACTGCATGAAGAAATCAGGAAAAACGAGAAAGGAAAACAAGTTCTCTGCTAAAAGTGAGTGTTTTTGATGTATATTCCTGCTTGTTTCTCCGTCGGTGTCTGTTGCAGAGTGAAGTAACTCTGTGTATTTCTGATCAGGGTTACAAACCACGAGGCTAGGATCGTACATCGAGGACCGAGTGAATAAGTACTTGAAAAGGCAGAATCACCCCGAGGCCGGAGAGGTGTTTGTACGGGTGGTCGCGAGCTCTGAAAAGACCGTGGAGGTCAAACCTGGGATGAAATCCAGGTAATGTCACAGATAATAAATATGAATTCAGCATTTGACTCTTACGTTAGGGCTGTCAAATGATTAATCGCTTCCAAAATAAAAGTTTGTGTTTACATAATATATGTGCATGCACGGTGTATAATTATTTTGTGTGTATATATATATATATGAAGAGTTCAGATGCAAAAGCCTCTAAGTGCCATTTGAAATTTTCTTCTAGAATGATAATTATCAAGCTTGTATATTTAAGTTCAGTAATTTCACTTAAATGGCAATGAAGATTACCTATTAATTGTCATTTAAGTGAAATTACTGGACTTGAATATATAAGCTTGATAAAAATGATCATTTTAGAGGAAAATTTCAAATGGCACTTAGAGGCTTTTGCATCTGAACTCTTCATATATATATATATATATATATATATATAAATACACACACATGCATGTATATTTAAGAAAAAATATTATTTATATATAAAATATAAAAGTCCATATACAGTAAATACATGAAAATATTTCTTAAATATATACAAGCATGTGTGTGTATTTATATATATAAAATAATTATACACAGTGCACCCACATATATTATGTAAACACAAACTTTTATTTTGGATGCGATTAATTGTTTGACAGCCCTATCTGACGTGGTCAGGAACAAATTGATTCGATTTTTAGTTCATGCTGACTAAGAGTTGTTTTCTATGTACCTGAATTGAAAGAAGCTAATTTTGCATCAAACAATTTCTCTGCAGGTTTGTTGACTCAGGAGAGATGTGCGAAAGCTTTCCCTACAGAACCAAAGCACTTTTTGCATTTGAGGAGATTGATGGAGTGGATGTGTGTTTCTTTGGCATGCATGTCCAGGAATATGGATCTGAATGTCCCTTTCCTAACACCAGGTATCATGCAAATACTGATCTGTCTGAAAAACAAAACAAAAACAATGCTGAATTGTGTCTTGAACAGGCAAAATTTACTGATTGTCTCATTTTTCTCCTTTTTCCAGGCGGGTATACATATCGTATCTTGACAGTATTCACTTCTTCAAGCCTCGGTTGCTAAGAACTGCAGTTTACCATGAAATCCTCATTGGCTATTTGGAGTATGTTAAGAAACTTGGGTAAGTTGTGCCACCTTGATTAAGTTAAACATGCTTCCTTAACCCTAAAACCGTATTCTGGACAAATGTGGGCAAAATAGTTTTTATTTATTTTTAAAAAATACTTCCCTTGATCTGAGCGGTACAAGACTTGGCTACTTTTCCTAAGTTTGCCTCCTGAACACACACATTTTTTTTTGACTCAATTCTACAATGTTAAGTGGGTGAAAAAGAAAACTCCTTAGTCTTGTATTTGGGTCAAAAATGGGCACCCATAGAAATGAATGGGAAAAACGGTAATTTAGAGCACTCTAAAATAAGCCAAAATAAGACACCAGGTGACCGCAAAGTCACTTCATCTTTAGGTTTCAGCTCTAAGAACTTATTGGAATGATATTTTAATGTAGTTAAAAAATAAAAATAAGCATAATTTACATAGAAAATATGGTACTTTTTGGAGTAAATAAATTCAAAAATACCCCCAAAATAAAAATTAAAAACACACCGTAAATGGATCGACAAAACTTTATCGAAGACAGTGATATAACATTTATAATAAATAAAAATTAGGATCACACCTGAGTCCTCTGTGCCCACATTTGTCCACAATTACAGGATTAAGGGCTATAAAGTGAATACGGTTTTAGGGTTAAATAAATGTGTAATGGTTTTTGGTGTTACAATTCAGGCTTTATCTAATCTCAGCCTAAAATTACAAGTCTACTCTAAATAAGCCATTTGTAAGTGTGTGTGTGTGTATTTCCCTCATATTTAACGCACTAATGAATTTGATTTTTCCACAAACAGATATGTGACAGGTCATATCTGGGCCTGCCCACCTAGTGAAGGCGATGACTACATCTTCCACTGTCACCCTCCTGATCAGAAGATTCCCAAGCCTAAAAGACTCCAGGAGTGGTACCGCAAAATGCTGGACAAAGCATTTGCAGAAAGAATCATTCATGACTATAAGGTATGTCGATGTTGGATTTATATTTTAATGCATTTGCGCTCTGTCAGGTTTCATTCATAATGGGTCAACATCATATTGTCACAAATATTACTCACAAAATGGCTCACTTGTGTTATGCAGGACATATTTAAGCAGGCCACTGAGGACCGGCTTACAAGTGCCAATGAGCTACCCTATTTCGAAGGTGATTTTTGGCCCAATGTTCTAGAGGAAAGCATCAAAGAGTTGGAACAAGAGGAGGAGGAAAGGAAGAAGGAGGAGAATACAGCCTCCTCTGAGACAGTAGAGGTTAGTCAGAGTGTCAAATGGTGTGAATGTGTATTTAGTGTAGCATGTAGACATTTTTTCTAAATGTCTTGCGTTTCCGCAGGGAACCCAAGCTGACAGCAAGAACGCCAAAAAGAAGAACAATAAAAAGACCAACAAAAACAAGAGCAGCGTGAGCCGCGCCAACAAAAAGAAGCCTGGGATGCCGAATGTAGCTAATGATCTGTCCCAGAAGCTATATGCAACAATGGAGAAGCACAAAGAGGTGGGACTAGACTTTTTACCTGAATACCATTACTTCCACTCAAATGTGCCAAGTGCTGACCAGATCTCCTCTTACTTCGTGAAATCCAGGTCTTCTTTGTTATCCACCTCCATGCTGGTCCAGTGGTCAACACCCTTCCTCCAATCATGGACCCTGACCCGCCGCTGACCTGCGATCTGATGGACGGCCGTGATGCCTTCCTGACGCTGGCCAGGGATAAGCACTGGGAGTTCAGTTCCCTGCGCCGCTGCAAATGGAGCAGTATGTGCATGCTGGTGGAGCTACACAACCAGGGCCAAGACCGATTTGTGTACACCTGCAACGAATGCCAGCATCACGTAGAGACACGCTGGCATTGCACCGTTTGCGTGGTCAGTCTCCTCTTTGTGGCTTTGACAGAGCATTTGGGTTACTGTTGCCATTGTTTGATATTCAACAGGTAGTTTGTAAAAACTAGACAAGAAAAAAATTAAACTATTGCCTGTAGCTATAGACCATTTCACAAGATGTAAACAACACTGGTCCAGAAGCACTTCCTGTTTCAGTTTGTAACTGTTTTCTTTATTTCACATGTAAAGAAAACATCTTAAAGATGTTTGTTTAACTTTTTGATTCAGTTTTATATGTTCTGTTGGTTGTATTTTATCCCAGCTTTTATGTAGTGTCAAAAAACTGAAACAGGAAGTGCTTCTGGACCAGTGTTGCTTACATCTTGTGAAATGGTCTATAAATATAACGCCAGTATTACCAGCTCCAGTTGTGCAGCAGTGAATGAATATTCTATACTACGATTATCCAGAAAGCAATATCAATTCTTCTTCTGATTTCTTTCAGGACTTTGACCTATGCATTAACTGCTACAACTCCAAGGGCCACGAGCACCAAATGGTGAAGTGGGGATTGGGCCTGGACGACGACAGCAACAACCAGGGCGGCGAGGCCAACAAGAGCCCACAGGAGAGTCGACGCCTCAGCATCCAACGCTGCATTCAGTCGCTGGTGCATGCCTGCCAGTGCCGCAACGCCAACTGTTCTCTGCCGTCTTGTCAGAAGATGAAGAGAGTGGTGCAGCACACCAAGGGCTGCAAGCGCAAGACCAACGGAGGCTGCCCTGTTTGCAAGCAACTCATCGCATTGTGCTGCTACCATGCCAAGCACTGCCAGGAGAACAAGTGTCCCGTGCCCTTCTGTCTAAATATCAAGCACAAGCTGCGACAGCAGCAGATTCAGCAGCGACTGCAGCAGGCGCAGATGATGCGGCGGCGTATGGCGCTAATGCAGGGCCGAGGAATGCCTCCGAGTCTGCCCTCCCCAACTACCTCAGGAGGTCCGGGGACGCCCAACTCTCAGCAGCTGCAGCAGCCTAACACACCTCAGACCTCGCAGTCTTTAGCCAACCAGCCCCAACAGACGCATCCAAATGTGGCTGCAATGGTGCAAGGCTTCCCCAGCCAACCACAGACACCAGGACCCCAGGGTAAACCGCAGTCCTCGCCCCTGCAACAACAGCAGCAGCAACAGTCTCCCCTGCCCATGCCTCCTCAACAACAGCCGCAGCCCTCTCCGCAGCAGCAGCAGGCTTTGAAAGTTGCGCAACAAATAGAGATGATGACCAAAGTTAAGCAGCAGCAGCAGCAACAACAACAGCAGCAACAACAGCAGCAGCAGCAGCAAGACTATAGAATGAATATGAACGGCATGCAGATGAACCAACCTCGCATGATGACTCCCATGCAGATGATGGGCCCCCGTGGTCCTCAGATGGTTCAGAACATGCAACCTGGCCAGTGGCCACCTGGGATGCAAGGGTCCATGCAGAATCCGCAGGCGCCTCCAACGCAGCAAGTGCCCCCGCAGCAAATGGCCATGGCTCCACAGCAGTCTCAGGTTGCGCAGACGCCCCAACAGGCGCAAATGATGCAGCGCGCCTTGATGCAGCAGCAGCAGGCGCAGCAACAACAGCAGCAGCCGAGGCAAATGCAGGCCGTCATGCCTCCCCAGCAGGCGCAACCACAGGCCCCTCAGCAACAGGGCATGCAGCAAAGAGGTGTGACCAGCAGCATCGCTCCAGGAGCGCTGCAGGACCTTCTGCGCACGTTAAAATCCCCAAGCTCCCCTCAGCAGCAGCAGCAGGTCCTCAATATCCTCAAGTCGAACCCGCATCTCATGGCCGCGTTCATCAAACAGCGCACGGCGAAATACCAAGCCAGCCAACCGCAGCAGCAGAACCCGCAGGCCATGCTCGCAGGGCAGCCGGGAATGCAGAACATGGCTGCGATGCAGGCCGGCCCCGTGCAGAGACCCGTCATGCCCCCCCAGCAGGCGCAGCCGGCCCCGACCCAATCCATGGCGGCCCTCGGGCCCCAGGGACAAATGATGAACGCTGCGCACAACGGGAACCAGCTGTTCCGCCGGCAGCTAATTCGTCAGATGCAGCACCAGCAACTCCAGGGGACGCTCCCTACCGGACAGGGGAGATTCCCGCAGCCTCAAGGCGCAGCTAGTTACTCGCAAATCCGCATGCAGCAGCAGATGGCCATGCAGGGCGGCGGAGGGCAAATGCAACCCATGGCTCAGATGGGCCAGCCTGGCATGAGTATGGACGCCCAGCAGAATATGCTGCAACAGCGCCTACTACAGCAGCAGCAGCAGCAACAGTTGCTGAAGCAGCAAATGGGCTCGCCGGCACAGGCCGCTTCCATGAGTCCCCAATCACACATGCTTGCAGGACAGGCGCAGGGAGCCCACCTGCCCGGACAGGCCATGGCTAACGCGCTGGGCAACCAGGTGAGGTCGCCTGCCCCCGTGCAATCGCCCCGTCCCCCTTCCCAACAGCCGCCACATTCCAGCCCGTCCCCTCGCATGCAGCCCCAGCCCTCGCCCCTACACCCCAGCCTGACGGGACCCATGCCGGGCCCCATGGACCAGGCCCACCTGTGCACACCTGAACAGAGTGCAATGCTTCCGCAGCTGAACACGCCAAACCGTGGAGGGCTTTCCAACGACTTGAGCATGGACACCACGGGCGACACGCTAGAGAAGTTCGTCGAGGGATTGTAGCATTAAGAGACGTTCTTTTTCGCGCAGAGAAAAGGTTTGTTTTTGTAAGACGACAAAATGACAAGACTGTAATAGGTTTACACAACCAATGGACTGCTTTTCCTTCCTTATCGGAGGGACTGAATTTACTGTTTAAAGAGCAGAATCACAAAGGGGATTTTTTTCTAGGAGGGGATGTCGGACCGGACGAAATTCAATCCTGGTCTACAAGGAGCTACATTTTTAATTGTTTCGTTTTTTTTTTTTTTTCGTTTTTTTTTTCCGTTGTTTTCGGGGAGGGGGTTATTTTGAGCTTATGGACTTTTTAAATGGAATTTCTCAAGGCAAAATATTTGATTTTATTATTGAAGACTTTCATTTTTGTATGTTTGCAAGCTGAAATGCATTTCTTTTTTTTTTTTGTTGTGAGTGTGTGCGCGTGTTTAGGGACTAAGATAATTGGTGTGGAATCAGGATCAATCCTCATTCCTGTCTGATACGTATTCACATTTACCAGGTTTGGAAAAGGACAGCCTTTTTCTCTCCAAACTGTGGAGTTTGTACAGAGGACCTGTATTCATTTGTACAGAAAGGAGCTTGGCTACTGCACACACAAACACACACACACACACGAACGAACGAACGAACGAAAACACAAACACGCGAGCAAATTGTGAAAGTTGCTCTTATTTTTCAAGGTGCCCAGATGCGTTTATTTATTGGCCTGGATTCAGTAGTTGTCTCTCTTAAGATGTAGGAAGATGTTCCTGTTTTCTCGTTTGATCTCTGAAACATCGATGATGTCCCCTCCCCCTCGCGTATGAGGCCGGAGCTTCGTCCGACTGCTGATTTGTTCAAAGAGTTCTTCAGTCAACCTCTTGTTTTTTTTCTCCTCATGAAACTTGAATTGAAGGTGAACGATTCTTTAATGTAAATCATGCAGCTTGATGACATACTGTAAATAAAAGGAAAAAAGATTGAGATCGCTGTATAAACTGGTTAAGATCTTGTTTCGTACTTATATACCATATTGTTAAATAAACTGTGTGCAACAGACACAATGCTTCTGATGACTTCGTCTTGCGTGTTCTCGGCTATTTATGTGCCTGAACGTTTACATCTTGCACACAACTGTCTGTTTTTACCATGCAGCAAGTGTTATTAACCGGTTATATTTATGTCTTAAGAAGAATAACCATTTGACTTTTTTCAGCGTGGATTGCAGCGTGTGATGAACACTAGCTCCACTGCGCCTCCTGGTGTCTGAATGGTGCAACTGCAGTGTAAAATATTCACCATTTCGGTGCGCACTGCATTGGTCATTTCACAGGGCTGGATATGATAAAATTGAACACAAAAAATATATATATATATTTTTGTTTCTAACAAGCAGTGTTGGGCAAGTTACTCTAAAAGGGTAATTACTAGCTACTAATTACATTTTCACCAGTGTAATTTGATTACTGCACTAATTACACTCTTTAAAACGTATGTACTACTAATATATATATATATATATATACTAATAACTTTTCAAATCCCACAACCTCGACAGTTGAACAATAGACGTGAAACTGCTTTTTAATTCTTTCAAATAAATGTATTCCATTAATTTCATTCAAATAGACTTGTCGGGAAGAATTTACGCAATTTTAAATTAATAACGTGCGACATTGAATGTTGATGTTAAATCCATTTTTGTTTTAGATTGAGAGTTGTTTTAGTCTATAGAAAATGTCATTTTTTTTAATGCACAATGTTTTGTGTGCTGACAGCTGGCTGAGAAGTTATAGAAAAATCACAGAAACTCAGGTATGTGTCTTCACTTATTCACTCATTATTAATATTGTCTTGTGGAAACTACATTTATTGTTCAGTGAGATCGCGCTGTTCAAATGGAGCAGGTTAAATGACTAAATGTTAAATATCTGATTCTCTCCGTCATGTATTACTAATTCTTTGCTAATCAGTTTTGGAAAGTAACGTCTCATTTCCGCCACGTAAGAAAAAATGAATCTTTGCTGAATCAATTAGGAAACACTTGACATCAAAGTCACTATTTACAAAATGTAAAAAAAAGTCACAATTATGACGTCATAATTTTTTTTTATTTTTTTTTAAAACTGATAATAAGTCATTGTGAATTGACTTAAATTATGGCATATCAAGTCATTTATGTGAAAAGTCTATATTAAGTAACAAAAATTGAAATGGACCTCAAATAAGTTGAAAATGGTCAATTATGAATTTACACGACAACAAAGTACTAAAAACGGAAACAATTTTTCCTTTTGTTTTTAGCATACAGACATTAGTGGTGTAACGATACCCACGTGTCACGATTCGATATTATTGCGATATATCCAAGACATGGTAAAAGGTTAGCAAAAAAAAATAAATAAACTTGATTAAAATGCTAAATTTGGTGTTGCATTGTGGTCGTAAATAATTAGGCTTGGACTTGGTGCTGGAAAGCCATTGAAACTCTGAAATCTTGAATTTTTTTCACAGAGAATTTTTTTTTTCATTTTGGGTAAACTATCCTTGATAGATATGTTGCGATATATTGTTACACCTTAAACATTGTCAACTATCCGGTTCACACGGACCTACGAGAATTATTAAAAACGCTGCATTATTCATGTTAGGCCAGTAGTTGGCGATATTGTAAAGAAACACAATGTGCATATAGACTGAAAATATAATCCGCATGATGCACCGTTTTCACAAATTCACGTTTTTGTTGTTTTATGTGGAGACTGTAACACTATTGTCTTCAAAAACTTCCACTTTATAACAAATTTTCAAAAGTATGCATTTTTTTTAGCTTTGCATTTCGAAACGCTGTTGTGTAAATGAACGACAAAAACGCACGAAAAGTTTTCTCTTTGTAGTTGTAAACGGTAAACTGACTTAAAATTTTGTCAATTTTTACTTTTAATCTCAATTATGATTTTGTATGTCACAATTTTTACTAATTTTATCTCATTATTATGACTTTCTTATTATGTTTGTTTTCTGAATTGTCGTTGTGTTTTTTTAATTGTTATTTTGTTTTTATAATTGTGATTTGTTTTGCACCTCTCGGCCACCGTACTTTCTTTTTCTTTTTTCAATTCTGATTTACCAAAGCATGGTTTTTATTTTTCTTATAGCCTAAGGTGAAAATGGCCTTTCATACTCATTTCTAGTTACTCTGGTCAAAAATAGATTTACCAAATATGTCAAATTGTCTCTTTACAGCTCTGAGAAAAGTCAAAAATTGTTTTAGACAGCCGAGGCCTAGCTATCTTCAGTCATCCACATTTCCGAAACAACTCCTGTATTTCGCATTTAAATGCGTTTGTTACTTTGCAAGTGTGTACGTGACCTCGGAGTGACACAAACGGTGAAACGGTTCATTTGCCTTTTTTAAGATGTGAGATTACTCCGCTGTGTCCACACTATTTCAGGGTTCCAGAAAAGTAGGACTTTTCCTGTTTCCAACCTTACAAAATGTGTTATCGACGTTTTTAAACGCATAACCCGCAGATATCGACAGGTTTTTCTTCGCCTCTCTCAACATGCTTCTTATATTCGTGTTCATAAACATCAGTTTGAACTGATGTCATCCTGAGCAGATTCACAGAACGTGTTCAGCGTTCCACTCGCGCTGCGTTCTATTTGTTCTTAGAACGCAAACATGAGCAATGTTGAAGACAGTCGTGCTGCAAAAGGCTGCTTTTTTTCTTTTCTTTCCAAGTTAAACCTTTAAACCCGTGGAGAGACCTGGAGACCCAGCGTTCTTCATTTCCTCAGCGTTGTTTCTCGCGGTTTTAAACGCAAGAACGCTTTCTGTGGGAACAAAGCAGCAGCGCCGTACAGTTCAGCCTTGCACGCCTTTTATACAGCTAATCCATAAAAGTGCGGATTATAATAGCGATTGGTTGACTTGCGACAGATATGCTCCATCTAGAGCGTTCTCATCATTTGTATTATGCACGCAGCATTATGAGCTCAAATTAATTGAACGAATATGTGTGTACGTTTCGTACAGGTCGTGCTACAGGAGCATTTAATTAAAAGTGAAGTGATGGCATTGTTTAAAAACGTCCAAACATTTACTTTTACAGTGTGATGTTAAATTGTTGGGTTAAATATAATACAGCCGGTAGGCTACGTTCTTCATTTTTATTATTGTCTGAAAATATCGATTTAACACCAAGCACTACATCATTTCTCAGATTAACAGTACTAATAACTAAAATCTGCATGATCTACTGTAAATGCGTGAGTAACAGGCCGATCCCAGTATACCCTCATCACTTGCGCCACTGCGCCTCCTGGTGTCTGAATGCTGAAACTGCAGTTTAAAGCCCTTGTGGCGCAAGTCACCATTTCGAAGCGCACTGGCTTTCTATTTCATTTCAAAGAGTTCAATATGATCACATCAGAGATGGTACTTCCATTCCAGTTTACAAAACTGTTGAATTTCTGGTGAAATTAAGTGTTAAGTGAGCACAGGAACACAGTTTATGAATAATCAATGCCATTTCTCAAGACACGAGATCATAAACGCAAGACTATCCATTGAAATACTTCTTACATAAAAGAATTCAAAATTTATGAAATACATTTAAAACATGTTTATTTCATGTTTTCATCCCAATTTACACATGGAAAAGCAGTTAATATAATGAGCCAATGAATTGAAACGTGAATAATTTTAGAGCGAAAAAGGGACAGAAAATAAGACAACGCTCCACTTGTATCTTCATCTTGCTATGGCAATTTTTCTTGTATATTTCCAGGTAAATTCAGGGATTGATATAGTCACAACTGAATTGTTGGTTGGACAGTGAAATCTCCGCCTCGTCAGCTGTAAAACACGACTCTCACCTAAACGACAATGTCACACCTGCACAAAGATTCTCAAGTCTTCTTATAAACAACGTTTGCTTGTGTTTAGTGCGATCGCGACCTCGGCAGCCCAAGTCTTTGTGCATCAACACACGGCTCGAATGATGGCAAAACAAGTCCGTCAGGCTGAACACATCAGTGTTTCTCCAGCGCCTGAGTGAGAAGCTGATTCAGTCGGGAGATCATCGGACGAGGGTCGTCGTTCAGCCCGGCCGTGATCATGGCGTTGTCGTAAATCTGGTGCGTTAAAAAAAAAGCCATTTAGTTTACTTTTCAATTATAAATAGGTGAGAGACTGGTGTATTTGTGGGAATCTGTGTTCACCTGTTCAAGGAGAAGCTGTGCCAGCGCAGGGCTTGAGTCCTTCAGCGCGTGAAGCTTCTTGATCAGGTCATGTCTGCAAACAATCGCTTCACATTAGACAAACAACAGCATTTCTATTCATGCAAGCAATTTAGTGGTCACATTCATGGATACACTGGAATTATTTTCAGTACAATAATATTTTCCAGTACAAATACCTAAAAACAAAATCTTAAATCAAGATGCATTAACATGAGAAGCAAAAATCAGCTTGTTTTCTGAACAAAATCATTTAAAAATAAGTAACTATATGCTTAAAATAAGAACAATCATCAACCAGTGGGGTGAGAAAAATAAAGTTTATTAAAGGGATTGAAACTTTGAAATTAATTTTTTATATGTTTTATCTTACCTCAAGGGCATCCAAGATGTAGGTGTCTTTGTTTCCGCAGTATTTTCAATTTTGATATTTTTAGGTCAAACCGTTTGTCTGTCAGTCATATAATGCAGGTCTATGGTCACCACCTCAAAGAGCATGCACAGAGAAGTCCAAATTAAACATGATTTAATGACTCGTAAATGTAAGTACACATTGATGGCCTAAGACACGAAACGAGCGGTTTGTGTGAGAAAACGAACAGTATTTATAGCATTTTACCTTTTGTAACCACAGCCACGTCAAAGCAATTCAAGCTTCGGTCTGTGAAAGCGGCGAAAGTGATCTCTCGCGCGGTTACGAAAAAAATTCAACGTTGTCTGTTGCTATACAGAAAATCGCAATGGAAGACGATTTCAATATATCTAAATATGTTTAGATCTTCGCAGTGAAAGGTAACACTTCTGAAATCTCTGTGTAAACAATGAGTGA